ATGCTAAATACTTCTGGGTTCGACGTAGGTCTTTTGGTAAGGATGATCAAAGGAGTTAGGAAGGGAATTAATGAAGTTATTTAAATTATTAAGGTGAGTTACTTAAGTTTAAGCTAGTAATTAAGGGAGTTACTTAAGTTAGTTGTTAAAGTTAATAAGTAAGGGCGTTACTTAAGTTAGTTGTTTATGTTTCAAAGGGAGTTACTTAAGTTAGTTGTTGAAGTTAATAAGTAAGGGCGTTACTTAAGTTAGTTGTTTATGTTTCAAAGGGAGTTACTAAAGTTAGTTGTTGAAGTTGATAAGTAAGGGCGTTACTTAAGTTTGTTGTTTAAGTTAATAAGCAAGAGAGTCACTTAAGTTAGTTGTTTATGTTTCAAAGGGAGTTAATTAAGTTTGTTGTTTAAGTTAATAAGCAAGGGAGTCATTTAAGTTAGTTATTTTAGTTCACCTCTGTGTTTCCAGACGTGAAGAAGATGCCTCTGGGCAAGCTGAGCAAGCTGCAGATCGCCAAGGGACTGGAGGCGCTCATAGACATCGAAGACGCCATCAAGAAGAAGAAGGCACAGGAGCGAAGGCCCGTTGGTTGGTCTTGGGCGCCAGAAACCTATTTTGAGAAATCAGAAAAGTTCGTTGGCTTTATGGCGTTTTATTGAAGAAACTCCGGTTCTGAATAGCCGAATGTGATGGAATTCCAAGTTTTCGTTTTCACTGATTGTTATTTATCTTCGCTATATTAGTTATTGTTCATTGCTGTGTCTAGGGGGATACACCTAAAAGCGTATCTGAATAAACACAACCTTTTTCCTTCCTCAGCCCCGTTTATCAGTTCTTTTGGGCTTTTTAAGATTTGAGTGAATGTTTGAATTTTGCGAGTTTGTTTCAAGCCTTCATTTTCACAGATAGTTACTTCCCTTTTATATATTTACTATTGCCCATCACTGTGTCTCAAAGCACCTAAAAGCGTATCTGAATAAACACCCCCTTTTCCTCCCTCAGCCCCGCAGTGTGCTGATGGAACTCACTTCAAAATTCTTCACTCTCATTCCACACAACTTCGGTCGATCGGCGCCTCCTGTGATAGACACGGTTGACGTCGTGCAGAAGAAGAAGGAAGTCATGCTCACTCTCAGTGACATTGAGCTGACGCAGAGCCTTCAGAGGGACAAGGTGGGGAAGGCACATTTGTATTCCCTGAATATGTATATGTGTGTATGTGTGTGTAATGGTGTGTCTGGTGTGTATATATATATATATATATATATATATATATATATATATATATATATATATATATATATATATATATATATATATATATATATATATATATATTGTTGTTATATTGTTCATATCATCGTCGTCATCGTTAATATTATTATTGTTGTTGTTATTATTATTATTATTATTATTATTATTATTTTTATTGTTTTTGTTGTTGTTATTATTTTTTTATTATTATTTTATTGTTATTATTATTATTATTACTTTAATTATCATTATTGTTATCATTATTATTATCATTATTAATTTTATTATTATTGTAACTATTATTATCATCATACCGATCATTATTGGTATCATTATTATTATCATCATTATTGTTATACTATTATTATCAATGTCATTATTATTATCATTATTATTAGTATTATCATCATTATAATGATAATAATAATAATGATAATAATGATAATAATAATAATAATAATAATTATTATTATTATTATTATTAATATTTTTATTATTGCTATTATTTTATTAATGTTATCATTATTATTATTAATATTATTGCTGTGTTATTATTATCCTTATTATAATTATTATTATCATCAGCAACATCAGTATTATTATTATTCCTTTTATTTCTTCTTCTTTTTGCTCTTTTCTTCTTATTATTATTATTATTATCATAATTATCATTATCATTTTGATTATCATTACTGCCATTGTTATCACTGTCATTGTTATTATCAGTGTTATCGTTATTATCATTATTAACATTATTGTTATTGTTATAATTCATTATTATCATTGTTATCGTGATTATCATTATTATCATTGTTATCATTGTTATCATTATTATCATTGTTATCATTATTATCGTTGTTATCATTATTATCGTTGTTATCATTATCACTATTATTGCTATCATCATCACTATTATTGCTATCACCATCACTATTATTGCTATCACCATCACTATTATTGCTATCACCATCACTATTATTGCTATCACCATCACTATTATTGCTATCACCATCACTATTATTGCTATCACCATCACTATTATTGCTATCACCATCACTATTATTGCTATCACCATCACTATTATTGCTATCACCATCACTATTATTGCTATCACCATCACTATTATTGCTATCTCCTTGCATTGGATAACAGTGTAGTCTTTCTTCAACAGGAGAGCAAGGGACTTCATATCCTGCAGGAGAAATACGACATGTTGGACTGCCGTTTGGAATATGTGGATCAAACGTCCTCAGAATTTAAGGTAATGGTGTGTGCATTCTTTCTCTCAGTCTGTGTCTGTCTGTCTGTCTGTTTGTATGAGGGCATGTATGTATGTGTGTATGTGTGTATGTGTGTGTGTGTGTGTGTGTGTGTAAGTGTGTAAGTGTGTAGGAATGTATGTATGTAGGAATGTCTGTCTGTCTGTATGCATGTATGTATGTATATATGTATGTATGTATGTATGTATGTATGTATGTATGTATGTATGTATGTATGTATGTATGTGTGTTTGTCTGTCTGTATGTATGCATATATGTATGTATGAATGTCTGTCTGTCTGTCTGTATGCATGTATAATATGTCTGCTTCTGTATGTCTGTCTGTCTCTCTCATCCTCTCTTCTATGTATTTATGTATGTATATGTATGTATCTTTGTATGGAGGTGTATGAATGTATGTATGCTTATGTATGTATATTTGTATGTGAGCATATGTACGTAGATACGTATGTATGTATGTATGTATGCATGTATATATATATATATATATATATATATATATATATATATATATATATATATATATATATATATATGTATGTATGTGTGCATGTGTGTATGTATGTATATATGTGTATGTATGTATGTATGTGTGTATGCATGTATGTATGTATGTATCTGTGTATGTATATTTGTATGTATGTATGTATGTCTAAGTATATCCATATCTATATTTGCATGCTTATATATGTACTTCCAGATTATCAGCGAATATTCAATAGCTTGTCCTAACTCTAGAAAGGGAACCCTTCTTGATGTCTGGCGCGTTGACAGAAATGAAGCGAAGGAGAGGTAATGTTCTTCACGTTATTCCTAATAGTACTTCGTTTATTGATGATTATGATGATAATGACATGAGTGGTAATGGAGTTTGTGTGTGGTCTCTTGTTTTCTCTCTCTTTTCTTGGTTTCTTTGTCTCAGTTTTCTCTGTCTGTCTGTGTCTGTCTTTTTCTTTCTCTATCTCTTTCTCTTTCTCTTTATCTATCTGTTTCCGTTTTTTTCTCTCTTTTTCTTTCTCTTCCTCTTTTTCTTTTTTCTTTTTTCTTTTTTTTTTCTTTTTTCTTTTTTCTTTTCTTTTCTTTTCTTTTCTCTCTCTCTAACTCCCTCCCCACCTCTCTCTCTCTCTCTCTCTCTCTCTCTCTCTCTCTCTCTCTCTCTCTCTCTCTCTCTCTCTCTCTCTCTCTCTCTCTCTCTCTCTCTCTACCTCCCTCCCCACCTCTCTCTTTCCCTCTCCATGCCTCTAACCCCCCCCCTCCCCCCAAAAAAAAGCAAAAACAATAACAGAATAAACTAAAAAAAAAAAAAATCCCAACCCTCCTCCAGGTTCGCCGCCCACGACGACATCAAGCACCGGAAGCTTCTCTGGCATGGGACCAACGTGGCGGTGGTGGCGGCGATCCTCAAGGCCGGGCTGAGGATCATGCCCCACTCGGGCGGGCTGGTGGGCAAGGGCATCTACTTCGCGTCGGAACATTCTAAGAGCTCTTGTTATGGTAAGTTCTCTAAGGTCGAAGGTTTGTGTGGTTGCAGGTCAGAGGTCAGTCGGTGTGAGAATGTGTAAACATGCCCAGAGCTCTTTGTTTATAGGACGGTGGTTGATGTGTGTGTGTGTGTGTGTGTGTGTGTGTGTGTGTGTGTGTGTGTGTGTGTGTGTGTGTGTGTGTGTGTGTGTGTGTGTGTGTGTGTGTATGCGCCTGTGATTTGAGTGTATGGGCCTCCCGTTATGAATCGGAAATAACATTACCCCAACGAACCATATATGCCCTAAATTAAAACCCAAAGACTTTCCCCTCTGCCCCATTGAGTGATGTTTTATCTTCTATCTTCCCTAGTTGGCTGTCATTACGGAGCTTTCGAAGGTGAGAGCTACTTAGGCTTTATGTTCCTGGTCGAAGTGGCTTTAGGGGGAGAGAGCAGCATCACGCAGGCCGATGGCAGTCTGACAGAAGCTCCTAGTGGCTATGACAGCGTGGTGGCAAGAGGAAGGAAAGAACCAGGTAATTCATCGATAAGTAGATTAATGAATAAAGAAATCAGTAAAATAAAGAATCACTGGCTGTATTGAAATATAAATAGATATAAAAAGGAAGGAAGAATATTTCCAGTCATTGATATATCTGCTTTTGACAATGTTTAAGGATACACGCAGAGGGAGAGGGACAGGGAGAGGGAGGGGGAGGGAGAGGGAGAGGGAGAGGGAGAGGGAGAGGGAGAAGGAGAAGGAGAGGGAGAGAGAGAGAGAGAGAGAGAGAGAGAGAGAGAGAGAGAGAGAGAGAGAGAGAGAGAGAGAGAGAGAGAGATAGAGAGATAGAGATAGAGATAGAGAGAGAAAGAAGAGAGGAGAGGAGGAGAAAAGAGAAAAGAGAAAAGAAAATTGAGAAAAGAGAAAGAGAGATAACATGAAACAATTAACAAAGTACAGGCCTCCAATAACAATGCAATTTGCTTCCTCTTTCTTTCAGACCCGAAGAAGAACAAGAAACTAGTGTTTGACGAAAATGACGTCACAGTGCCTTTGGGAAAACCCGTCCCTCAGAAAGAGTGGTTCGAGAGTAGCTTCGCACAGAGCAAGTATCTTGTGTACAAAGAGAGTCAGGCTCGTATTAGATACATACTCAAGTTTTCCTTCGTATAGGCCTTTATTTGACATTTCCTCTTCGTTACCATTCTGGCAAATATAGTTTTTTTTTTTTTTTTAGGAATGAATGAATATTTTGATTCTGAAAATGTGTAGAAAGTGTCATATTGTTATGTGTTATATAATTGCTACCATTATTGTTATTATTATCATTATGGTGATGATGATTATTTTTATATTAATATTATTAATGAGGTTGTTCTAATTATCTTGTTTTTTTTGTATTAGAAATTTGAAAGTCAGTTCATTATGAAAAAGGTAAAAGAATTATTTTTTTTGCAATGTTAGCTTATAGTATGTAAATATACTATTACAAAATTTGTATACTTCGTGATGCATTAAAGTATATATGCATCACAATGCTTTTTATATATTTTTTTTTCAGGGAAATTATGGTGCCTCAAAATAAAATACCAGATGGCCTTGTAATATATATTTATAAAAAAAAGCTATATGAATGCTTTTAGAATACCGGCTGTTGAATATCACAATACCCCCTTGAAGATGAGAGTGCCACGTTTTCTTTGTTTATTGCCGGTTAATTTGTAAATATATTGTTACTGAAAAATGTATATTTGCTGATTTCATCGCAAATTATAATCGGTGTTTATTGAAGGATTGTTACATATTTCTAGTACTTTTATACTGAATCTGTATTTTTTGTATGAAATATCACTGTAAATACACATCACTGGGTAACTTGCACTGTGTGGTTGTTTTGCTCTTATTCGGAGACACTTTGGACACCTTTTCCGATGGAGGTTCGCTGCCACCACGGCTCGTATTGGCTGCGATACGAGGCAGCTCGACGGTGATTGGCTAATATATATATATATGTATATATATATATATATATATATATATATATATATATATATATATATATATATGTAGAGTAATATATATATTAATATATATATATATATATATATAGAGAGAGAGAGAGAGAGAGATAGAGAGAGAGATAGAGATAGAGATAGAGATAGAGATAGAGAGTCGAAGTCTTTCCTTCGCCATTATGATGTGAAGAAGCCAGACATGTCCAAGGGCAAAATCAGACCAAAGAACTTCACCTCTTTGACAAGGGGCAATAGATATGGTCCTAGGAAGTGGTATATATATATATATATATATATATATATATATATACCACTATTTCCCTTTCCTGCCATATATATATATATATATATATATATATATATATATATATATATATATATATATATGTAGAGTAATATATATATATGTATATATATTCATATATATATGTAGAGTAATATATATATATAGAGAGTAATATATATATATATATATATATATATACATATATATATATATTTATATGTATATGTAGAGTAATATATATATATTTATATATATATGTAAAGTAATATATATATACATATATATATATATATATATATATATATATATATATATATATATGCGTATGTTAGTTGTTTTTAGAAAAAAAAAGATGTGAGATCGTTACTATTGTGTTGCTCACATCTCAGAGAGCAGACACTCAACCACTACTTTGCCAGTGATGATCAAATGTCGAGTTGTGCCATTTCTCGAACTACTAGACACTTCGGCCACCTTTCAGGAGAGCTGCACCCTGAGTTCTAGCATCTCGCCCCCGACAGCCAATCGCGATGTCTCGTGCAGCAGCCAATCAGAGCCGATCAAGACTCCGCCGCCACATCGGTAGTGGCAGACCTCCACCGGAAAAGGTGTTCGAAGTGTCCATGAATATGAGCGATCAAGTTCAGAATAGAGGCAGTGCAAGCTAACATCGATAAAAGATGGCTTAGAGAGAAAGGGGACAAGGGGAAAGGGGACAAAGACCTTCAATTTGGTCTGCTAACCATGGGTCTACAGGCCCTTTGGACATCAATTCTGGACCCAAAGTAGAATCAGTGGCTGTGATACGAACCAACCGAAGAGAGTCGAAATTTCACTGCCTTATAATTTCATCAGATCGAGTCAGTGCACATTTACTACAAATTGGTCTGAAAAGTCTGGAAAAAGAAGTGGCAGATATGATATAAATAATCCTGTAGGTAATGGCAGTAGTAACTAGCTACATTAATCAGAGAGCAGTGAGAGAAAGTAATCGGTATTTGAAGACGACAGCTGGAACATCCGGACAAACGGTTCACTCTGACCAACATCAGTATGCAATGCTTCGAAGTCTTTCCTTCGCCATTATGATGTGAAGAAGCCAGACATGTCCAAGGGCAAAATCAGACCAAAGAACTTCACCTCTTTGACAAGGGGCAATAGATATGGTCCTAGGAAGAGAGATGGATGGAGAAATTTCCCTTTCCTGCCATGTTACTTACTGTGCAGCATTTTTTCCAATTGACCCCATATCAATGTTCAAAACTCAAATTCAAGATATTTCATTCAGTTGAATACAGTGGTTAAGCTTTTCAAATAGATGGCAATTTACATAGTACATTTATATGGGATAATTAAATCTATATCAGGTATATTTGTGTTAGAATTATGTAAATATTAACATAATAAGAAAATGAGATCCAGTGTTTGGTCTTGCATTTAAATGTCTGTCATCGAAATTTAATGAAATGTTCTTTAAATTTTACTTTGAAAGTATTCAGGTTTGAAATATTTCTATTACTTTTAGGCAGATCAGTGGCCCTTTTTTTCTGACCTACGCATTTCTGTACATGATCTTTTGACATGCAAAGAGGTAACGTGCTGCATATTGTTCGTAGAAGTAATAGGTTATGGTTATGAGGTTAATCTCCCTAAATTTATGAGAGTATGCAAGTGTCATACTAACATATAAATAATTTAACCACTATAGTTTGGTTATGTGAGGGGGTTATATGATCACTCTGATTTACGAGAATATTGCCTGTTGCTACTCTTGCAGTTTGGTCTTTTTTGCATTTGAATTTTGTTAGTGAACACCGTAAGAGAC